ATATTATACATGTATAATCAGCATATCCTTAAACATTATAACTTTTGTTGTTTTCGTGGTTATTATTATTATTATCTTTATATAATATACAGTAGGCATAGGCCTATCTATATAGGTCTAAATTTATGTATGTTTCGAATCCGTCAAAATTATCATATGTATTCGTGGTCATTATTGCTGTAATAATGCATCATTTGTTATGAGTTGGATCAGTTAATTATAACAATAAGATTGGCGTTCTTGTCATTAATGTTCACACGTTTAGCTGAAAATTGCTTTATTCTTGTCTTCTGTTTCTCATGAAGGCTTCATGATTACCATAGATCGTGCAAAAGCAAAATCACTCCATTATCAATTATGTTTAACATTTTGTCTTCTGGCACTGATGCGTAATGGAATCGTAAGTGTACGTTATCACGAAACCAAACCATACGACTCCGAACTTCATTGCCACGAGCCGTTTCAAAATATGACAAGGAAAATGTATGGCGCTCTCAATTTGCCGTAGGCATCAGTGCACACAATATTGATAGCGCACGATTTCAATGGGATGCTTCCTGTCAAATATTGATGAGGACATGTAATCATGTACGGTTTAGTACGTTCTGATATGATAGCTCGGGGCTTTTACCTGTCCCGATTCCTCCTGCTTACTGAAGCACAAGCAACATTTAATACGGAATAAAATAACATCTAATTTGAGACATCAATGGTGTCCTCTTATGTCTCGGATGGCACTTTACGCTAGAGAACGGGGAGCCGTCGACAACGGAAGTTCGGGTTCTGCCTTATTGTTTACTGTGGTCTTCACGCTCTGATGAGCACAGAACCACCGTCCACCCGTCTTCCCGTCCTGTTGCGTAAAGTGCCTAATAAGGAGCTTTCGATTGCGCGAAGTGACGACGGTATGACGTAGAACGCAATGACGTCACATACGTTGAGTTATCGCGGTCGCGTGGATTCTAGGACGCAATTTGGTCAAAGCTACGTTGCGCACATAGAACGTAGGACGTTCACGCATGAAAAATCCATTTATCTAGCATTGCATCGTCGCGCAAATCGAAAGCTCCCTAATCTGATTACAGGCCTATACAATCATGTATATATAAACAAAAATAGACAAATAATAATAGGCCTAACAGCTGCTTGAATATGAACATCATCTGCATTAAATTACTGTATCACCTTCAATGAAAAACTCCTTTTTGAGTTATGAAAAATGTGTATCTAGGCCTACATTAAACAAAAATTGCAAGAATAAAAAAAAAAACAAAAACAAAAACAAACCTATAAATAAAATGCAACCGATACACCAATGTAATGTTATCAATGCTTATGAAATGTGTTTGCTACAGATAAGAAGTGTCTCCAACATCAATCGTTTTTACATTCCTCTGACACGGCTAACGCCGATGCCAGCCTCTGGGTTTGAATCAGAAATGCCAAATCCAATGAACTGCGATAGAATAGCCAGGCTATAAAAAAGTAATAATAATAGTCAGATTCAAGTGAAATTAATATACGGCTTGTGATATTTGAGGTGCGCTGTATAATTGCAAGCAACAACAACTGTCTACGTTGTAGATACGATTGTCCTACTATGTCACTTTAAAGAAAAAAAAAATTAAGCCTCCTTTCAAATTAAAATTTGAGAGCGCCCATTCTGGCCATTAGGTACCATAGTTATACAAGTTGGTCGCCGGTCCCAAACATGTAAAGCTGATGTGTTCAAGACTCTCCATCTGTAAGAAAAAAAAAATCCCTCCTCGCACTACCTCCCCCACCTCTATTCATTTTCTGGTCTGCTAATGCTTTATCATTTGAGTAAACACTGGTTACGTTGGTTCCCACTGGACGTAAACTAACGCAACGCAACGCAACGACGTAGACGCAACGTAACGACGCTGAAGCAGAGGATGGGACAGAGGGGAGGCAAAATTGACGTGGTTGGTCGACAGCAAGTCAAACAATTTTGGATTTCAATGTTTTTGTCATAAAAATCTAAATTCATTTCGAAGTCAAATCAGGGGTCATATTTCACTGAATCGTCCTATTTAAATCAGTACTTGCAAACCAATACCGACAGTTTTTCGTCTCATTTTTGTTGACACGTCTTTCAATATTATTACTATTTAATGCTTAAGATTTAGACGCAGACTACAAAACTGCGAATAAAAATGAAAGTTGACAACTTATTGCGTGTGCTCGGCAAAACATTGTACGTTTACAAGGTTAGTTGTGTGAAGCATCCCTGTTGTCACGTGACTTCACATTGCATCACGTAAACCATCATTGCACACGATTTTTTTTACAGATTGTAAATTAGATGCATCATACAAGATAATATAGGGCCTATTATTGGTCAATGTTTACAGGCCTATTCAGATGCAAGATACAAATTAATATTTTATTGTTGAATGTAAAAAAAAAATCGAACCCTCAGTGTAAGGCCAGCAATGTCCTTACACGGAGGAAAAACACGTCGTGGTTTGTGATTTATTAAGTTATATTGCATATTCCTTCATATGTCTACTCAAAATTGTAATTTATTTATTTATTACATTTAATTTATCGAAGCAAATGTGAAATTATCATTTTATAACATTCACAATTATAACATTACCACAAGGCAATTATATTTACCTTTTTGCATATAGCATGCAGACTGCCTTTTTCTGACTGAGGAAGAAGTAATAAAGATCACATCAAATGATGTATTCAAATTACATTCTGACTTGAAAGGACGTGAATAACGTGGCCCAGATTAATACAAATGCGTTTTAAAATATTTAAATACGAAAGATATTATTCTGAATATCACAAGAATACTAAGTGAGCTAAGGAACTGATTCTTGTGGTAAGTAACGTATAAAGGTAAAACTGTGAATTTTCATCAAATTGCAAATATGCCTACATTGAGGATGAAATCTTCTTCAATGCAAAAATTTACTATCCATTTATAATTACAACAAAGACATACAAATGCTTATTGAAGCAAATCTTATTTTTATAGATGTGCTATTGTGCGGTTTATTACGTCATACATGTATATATAGGATATATATATATATATATATATATATATATATATATATACACATCCATATACCTTCACGAAGAAACCTCGGGAGTGTTGTTTCTTGTGTTTCTATCTTCAGTACATACTCAGCGCGCTTAAACCACGGGAGCACATAACGCAGTGCACGCTTAATAACTGTTACACCATAGTAGCACGTATGCAGTATACGCTCAGCACGTGTGCACCATTAGGTCTACGCAGCAAACAGAGCGCGTGCATTGAAACGTTTAGCACAGCCAATCACAGATGGGTAGCGCTACATGATTTATTTTGATAAGGATGAATTCGGGGCTGAAATTCATTAGGCCTACATAACTTCGTGAGAAATGCTTTATAATTGTTACATTATTCCAAATGGAGTTGAAGACCCCTTCGGAAACAAGCAGAAATGCTTTAAGGCTTATCCTGAAATTCTCTTATTGTTGTTTTCGTTTAATTTTGTACTCTGTTTAGTTGTGAGAATTTCGAAATAAATCAAATCAAGAGATAACGTCAGCGCAGCAGTGAAATGACACTACATTCATTGAGTCTAAAAGTATAGGCCTATGTTGAATTTTCCAGAAAAACATTCGATGGTCAGATAATAATCCAGGAAAATTATATTCTGATACTGTGTGGTTTTCTGAGAAAATATTGTGTTGTAATTTATTATTAACATAATAACTGCGGCTTGAATTTTGTTTTGCTAAATCCATTAAGCTTACGTATGCATAACGAAAAGCGTCTCTTTGCTCTCCGATGACGACATCTTACCGCGACCTCCCAAGCACTTCAAAGCTATTAAATCGTCATACTATTTACAATAATAATAAGATACAGCAGCCATTCAGACCTCACTGCTTAATTGTCATTCTTGAAACTCATTTACAGATTCCAACAGCTAATTAAAGAGATGAGCGATAGCACAAGACGGCTTGTGTAATACAAGTTAAACCATTAATAAACCACGGAAAACTAATAAGTTTATTACCCGTCTGACATTTACAAAAACCTACTGTCTATAATTTGTTTTATTCTGTTTAAATATTTTTGCTCAGTGAAATCTGTAGAGCTTTTACTAAAACAGTAGAATTATGAGTGTTAGGCAAATTTGTCGATTTATTAAAAACTATTTATGAAAAGGTTTTGCTGTGTTCGTAGTTGAGCCTACGTTGTTTTTCCGAAGGCATACGATGAACATATTATTTCATGAGGAAAAATACTCATCCCTGATACTATAAATAGGTATAATTCAATCCAGCAGCAAGATGACGTGACACGTAACCTGCACCTGGCAGGTGCCATATTATTGTTGGAGATTCTCATAAAACAATTCAAAAAAGAACTAAAAACAACAAAAACCAAACCAAACCAAAATTGTTTGTTTTTGCTATAGTGAACAGAATTATTATTATTATTATTATTATTAATTTTTTCACCATCACCAGTATAAATCTGAACACGCAAGTACCACCAACAATCGGAGAAGACAATTTGATTTTACAAAGTTAAAATTTACATTATCTGTAATGAAAAAAGGAGTATGTTGTTTTGCAATCATACAAAAATAAACAAATCAAAAGTTATATAAAAAACAATAGAAATCCTTTTAATTCTATCTTAAAAACTATAATTCTATGAACAATCAATATAGTCCGAATTATTTAGAGTACAATATTTGAAAGCTACTTTGTCTTCCGACCTGCGGATAAAACATCGAGAAATGAATGAAATGCCCTATGATTAAAAAATTAAATTTACATTTGTCTATTATATTAGTAAATTAAAAAACATATCCCAAAGATAATATACTAAAATTGCATAAAACGGTTATTTATTACAAGAATGTCTTTGATATCATTACTCTTGCCATTAGATATACAGCATGATAATCTAATGGATTGAAAAAAAAGGATACAAAATCTGGGATTGCATTATAGTGTCTATAAATCATGACGGACGTATGCAATAACCACAAGCTGTTGCACAGCCTAGAAACACTAATCTCTGTCTAATACTAATACTGTATGTAAAATTTAATCAAATATGGACTAACAACTCTATAAAGTAAATTATAAAGACGAAAAATATGTTCCTGTTGTGGAGTTGAACCAAAGACACTGATTTCAATTTGGACAATCTACCAACCATGTGGCCAATGGATTTTTTTTTCTTTCTTTCAGCATTGCAATTTTTTTTCAAAATTTTAAATTAATATTAACAAGATGAAAAAATATGTAATTTTGAAAACCAGAAATTAAATCTATGAATTTCGATTTTTACATTAAAGTCACATGCACTGTACGAATAATAAGAATTTCAGTTGGATTCAATCCAGTTGACTAGTGTTCTGTATATCTCTTGGCGAGAATATAAACATCGCTTTAAAAAACAGTAGTTATGTACTCTCTAACAAATTCTGGATACCAGGTTCAGTTAACACATGACCTATTGAGTACCTAGCTTTCTGTAATACAATTATTGCATATAAATGTCTATTGCCTTCTTAATCCACATTTAGGATTTATTTATATTCTTTATTTTACACACATTTTCTAATTTACTGTATTAAACCCTGTATAGACTGTCAAAATTTAATTGTTACAAAAACATAAGACATGACTAAATATGGTAATATGATGACATCACATGACCATATATAGGCACATCATGACTTTATATGGGCATACAACAGTTTTGAAAAAGAAAATTTGATAATTTGGACAGAGCATTATACAGAGTCTTGATTTAAAGGACTTATGTCTTCAGCTTAGCAGGTCAAATGTATGCTGTGTTAATATAAATATATATACAGGTACTGTATGTGTTTATCCAACATAAGGCAGTTTATGCAGGTATATTTCTGTATTATCAAAACATCTTTTATTACACTATTAAATTTATGCAAAAAATTGTGTACATATCAAAAACTATATGTAACTATATTATAAAATATAGAACAAACTATTTACAAATATTCAATGAGCTGTTGTAAGAATATAAAGTTCATAATATCATACTAAAGAAATCTACATTTATATTGGAATGTGCAACTAGAAAGACTGATATTAAAATACTATATATACTCTATAAATTCAAGGACATTTTGTAAGTTATGTACATTTGCCATTTGATTTAAAACTGATTATTAATTTTGCGACAACAGAACTACTTGAAAACGATGGCCTCAAACTCTCCCATCAACTGATTTTGCTGATGCCGTACATGTGGTTCGAATTGCCTCTAATTTCTCCGGGTGTTTGCGGAAGTACATGATAGAACCTATAATGAGTATTACAGCTACTAAGGCAGCAATGGTACATCCAACAATCAAGCCAACATTTGGCATGCCGCGTACTATATAGGTGGCGCCAAACTGTGCCTCAAACGACACCTTATCGTTGGAGAGCTCTGCATCAATCTTGTTCCATGTCTTGTACTCATCGTTTGAATAGTAAACTGTCAGAACATCATATGAATCATCATTCAGATTGATCTGCATTGTAAACGTTTTTCCTTCTTCCGTTAAAGCTACTTGTGGGCCAACTACTATAAAATTGCTTTCGTACTGCTTGCCGACATTTACTTCCCGGCCATAAGATTCAACTATCTTCTCCCCAACCTCTGGGGTCCATTCCTCCAGACGAATGTCAAACAGTTGGCTTAAGTCACCTTCATCAAAGGTTAGAATGCTATAAATAAAAAAATATATATTTATGTTTCTTCATTATCAATTATTTTTCATTTATTCTTACTTCTACTGGAAAATATCTTAGTTACTTTTTTCAAATTGGACACAGTTAAGCTTTAAAAAACTTAAAAGTCATACAAGGCTGAGGAAAATAGTTAAAATAAAAAAGGTACATAATTTACAAACCCTGAATTTAATATCTCACTCCATTCTATACCCCATCTACATCTACCATTCTTAACTGTCCCATTGGTCACCTTAAAACTTGTGAAGATCGTTTCTCTATTCTTGCTGCTCCGAAGATTTGGATCAAACTACCAGACTCTTCATGTTTGGCTGTCTCGACTCAAATCAAATTTTTTTTTCTCTGTATTTTAATTTCTGAACTTGATTCCTGTTTTTTTTTGGGGGGGTTTTGTTTTCTTCTTACTTTTTGTGCATTTGGGATGTAGTTTCTTAGCGCATAGAGATGACTTTGTATTAAGCACTTCAAGTACGTCGCTATTACACCATTTCTTGGTTTAGAAAGCAACAGCATGACAGCTCCCTGCTCTGTTAGAGGAACGACATTTGAGCGATCAGTTCCTTGTAAGCCTTGTCCATCATTGTTGTTAGGGTTGGTATTTGATCCTGTCCATCTGTAAACAAATCAATACAAAAAAAATTAAATATTTGCATTTGTGGCAAAGACAAGTCAAACCAGTCACTCATTGCAAAAAATCGATTTTTAATTATTTTTACAGGGTTAAAAAGTAAAATGAGAGCTATAAAATGGTAAGAGAATAATTAAAATCTGGCATTTGTTATGAAGTTAAAAGCATTTAAACATGGAGCTGTTTAAAAAACGATATTTGAGAAATTATCCTTTAAAGTTTATGATTTTGGGCATTTCTCAGGCAGAAACCATCACCAAATCGTTAAAAAATGTTGTGCTACATTAAATTTGGAATGGGAATACCTCTTCTATCAAATATAAATTAAATTAATTAATTGGCTCATGCTGCCAAAGTCATTGACTTACTGGAAGTGCACATAGTCTCCTGGTTGAACTTCAAGGTCGTTTGGAGTGAAATCGTACTCCGTTGCCGGATAAACTTGAACAATATTGCCCCTCTTTCCTCGTACATTCAAATTGTAAATATTGGCTCCATCCATGGATTCTGGGCGTTTACGTATAGCAAAGGTATGGGATCTAAAAAAATCAGAAAGGTATTTATTATCTTAAAAAGTTGTTTATTAAATTTAATCTACTGCAAACATATATAACAATTGAATGATTCACACAGCAAAGTTGATAACTTAAGAAGAGGATCCAAAAATTGATTAGACTTAGGAAATTAAAAATTTACCTTAAAATATAATAAAAGTATATTTTATTATATTTAAGTTACAGGTTTCCCTCCAGTTAAAGACAACTTTTGAAAGATTTCTCTTTATATGGGAACACAGAAAAGTGGTCTTTAATCAAATGTTGTCTTTTATTGGAGGGGTCTTTACAGGGCTGGAAAAAGCGAGCAAATGGCGGCGGGAGGCATCATGAATGTTCCAGAGACATTGTTGGGGAAAAAAATTTAAAAAAAAAAGCTGTCGGGCTTTATACCAGTAGTTTACAGATAGCATTTCATGCTGGAGGCATTTTATCGAGACAATTTTTATGGTTGGCACAAATTTTATTTATCCAGGCTTGGCTCTTGAATTAGTGGGTGACCTGTATTTAATAAGTCAGCATTAGGAAGCAGTAAACTGAAGCCAACCAGACATAATTGTTCATCAATTCTTCATTCAAAAAAGAAATTCATTATCCTTGCCATTAAGTACAGTAAATTCCGGTATGACGTACCTATCTTGGAATGTTCTGCCATACTGCGCTGTGTTGATGGCAAGTCTGAGCTGGAAGTCTGTGTTGCCGCCTGCATCTGGGAATATTTCAACTTCTGGATTGTTCTCAAACACATAGCCTCGAGTTTCAGCTTCCTGCTCATTAAGACCAAGTCTATAAACAATGACAATTAGCATTCACATTATTAATAATAATAATAATAAAAAGTTCTACTTATATAGTATATAATGCAAAAGGCTTTTATGCACTTCACAAAAAAAAGGTTTAGTAAGAATATAGCATTTCCAGATTTGAAAATTAAAAATTGTATCCAAGATTCTGTCATGATATCTTTGGCATGTCACCAATTGAGTAGACCTCACGTGACAAGACACTACTTGGTAGATTGGGTAAGATCACGTAAACGGTATCAGACTTTAATTCTGGAATTATCCCTTTGGTTGTAAAACAGATATTATATGTATTTTATTTATCTTCTTTACCCTCTCCCCAGACAGACCCTCCCCCTCCTTTGAGTCACCCCAGTTAATGGGCTTGCCTCAACCCCCGACAGAACCCCCTCCTTTGGGACACCTCAATTAAGGGGCTTACTGAACCCCCAGACAGACCCCTCCTTTGGGACACCCCAAGGGACACCCTATAAGGGGACACTTTATCGGCCATGGAATGAGGAAAAGTATATTTTTTAACACTAAGGCCAATCCCCATTTATGGAACACCCTCATTAAGGGACATATATTTGTCCCGAAGGTATCCCCTTATAGGGTTTTACTGTAGTTCAAAATTAATAAATATTACTAGACATTGATGATTTCAGTGTAGGCCTACCTCTCTGCAATGTTAAGCTGACTGGGCTGATTGTTTTTAGCGGCATTGTACCTTGCATCAGTATCATTCCAACCATCATATTCCCCAGTTGATATGTTGTACCTATACACACAAATATTAAGTTATGCATTGTGTATTAGTTCACATTCATTCCTACCTCAAGTACATGTGGAATGTATAAGTTGGCTTATATATTGATTATTAATTTATATATGTTTGAATAGTTTTATCTGGTTTGCATATTATACCTGTAGAACTGTTTTAATTGGTAAGCAGTAAGTAACATCCACTGTGTTTGGTATATTACCAATTAAAAAAGTTCTACAATTTATATATTGTCTGATTTTTTTAAATCATAACTATACAGCACACAACCCTTCTACTCTCAGCAACAGTTAGGCTATGTATGCCCATATATAGTCATGATGTGATGTCATCATGACCATACTGTATTACCTGATTCTCATGGCACATCTTTCATGCTGTATATTAGGTATCGTCCAATTAAAAGTGTTTGTTTGTCCATTGACCCCGTTGCCAAGGTGATTATCCCGACTCCAGTGGTTTTCCCTACAAATCGGTGCTTCTATGCCATGTGCCGGAAACATCTTCCATATTCCACGTTCACCATCGGGATCATCTTCTGGATAGACGAGATTCTAAACCAAATTGTATCATATTTGACGTGAATGTTACACAATAATTAAGCTGGAATTTCAGATGTTATAAATTAATCGTGTAGGACATTAATTAAATTGCAAGCTATGAGATTTTATTTTATCAATCTAAAGATTAGTTTTCCAATAATACTAAGTATGAGTACTGTAAATCACCTGATGACAAGATGACTAATGTCAAAATCATTATTTTTTCTTTATTAACTCTCAGGCAAGGTTCTCTGATCTTTTTTCATTTACTTTATTTATTATGCCAAATGTATTAAATGGAATTCCTTTTTACACAATGAGTTATTTATTAAAACTATTGTTTTTTTTTTAATCAGGGAACAAAGGTTAACATTCCATAAAAACATAAATAAAGACCTTTTACTTTACCCGTAAAAGGAAAAACCAAATATAAACATTGTATAATATAATATGTATATTATGCCTATAACTTACTTCACAATCCTCCTGATTGGTGGGAATAACAGAGTCACTGCCTGTATTCAAATTAGCACGAATAAATGCCTTTGGGACGACGCATGCGTAGCGTGGCTTCACGTTGAAACTCTCGCTTTGATAGTATTCACAACGTGATGCATCATTTGTCAAAACTGCAATGTCCTATTTCCAAAATAAATACAAAATATTGAAAAAGTGACAGTTTGAATTAGAAGAGGGGGGGGGGAGAGCAGGGAGGAATTTTCACAGGAGGCCCAGTACCATGGTTGGGGCTGAGGTATAACAACAATTATGATTATGGCACCTCCAGATAGCTGGAAATGGCACTCTGACTTAACTATACATATAATCTTCTTTTTTTTTTCTCAATTTTTTATGATTTTGGGAAATTTAAGGGGGGGGGGGGAAATGTTGGCTGCCTTTAGCTCCCCTTTGAATCCACCACTGAAGAGTACATCTTACTATGTTACCCAGGCTCCCTACTGACATCCTAGTAGCTTACCTTCCATGGATCCGGGTGCCAGTAAGGGTAATAATCACGTTCCTCAGGGCACTCATATCCCCTTCTTGTTCCCTGTGGATTCTGTCTTGTATATTTGGCGGAATCTCCTCTTAATCTCTGTTGATAAATGCAATACATTTAAAGATAATAAATTTTATGAATATAATTATTTATAAAAATAATTAAATTGTAATATAATATAAATTACAGGTTAGAATCATAGGATAGGCTAAAACAATATCTTCAAAACATATGTTGTATATAACTCATATACAAATACAATGGATTTAAATTAATTTGCTTTAATCATTAAAAACCATAAATAATTTCAGAATCTTTTTCAACTTTTCATTGAACCTTTGGAGATTTACTTTCTTCATTGTTGGCAAAAAGAAAGAATGCAGAGAATGGTATTGATGAGGTGTATTTGTGCAGTGTAGTTTGTTGGATGATTCTATTATTTTATAGGTGTGTCAGAGTTACATGCAATTTGACAAATTGTTGGTTTATTCAGGTAGAGTAGCTTTGTTCATAAAATAACTTAAAAATTTTAAATCATTACATACCTGATCGGCAGTGAACAGGCCTTCATTTCTTTGTCTCAGTTTACAGTCAATATAATAGTCATAATTTTCTTGCATACCAAATCGAGTGTCTCGGTTGCAATCGTAGTTATAGCAGTTTGCTGGATTGTCTGGAATTGTACTGCACATAGTGGGAAAAAACACAATGAGAATTTCAAAAAATTCACAAATAATCATTAATATATACTTTTGACAACAGCAGCATTTTATATCTAATTGATGATAATAATTAGAGTATATTTTAACAATGATGATGTTATAATTATTGGTACTGGTACTGGTATAGGCATTAATTTATAATGCTCTTTTTCCTTGCAGCGCAGTTCTTTTCCCTGGTCACTGGGTGCTAAGTGTTGTTGCTGGTAATCAGTTCAGGAGCAGGCAACCCCACCAGGTACCCATTTACTGGGTGGAGAGAACCAATGCAGATAACGTGTCTTGCTCAATCAAGCGAAATGCACAGCGAGGGATTGAAACCCCGACATCGAGGTTCGGAAAACAAAACTTTTCCTGCTGCGTCAAACCGATTCCACTAATATTTGATATTAAAATTCAATTCAAATTTGAAACAGAAAATTAAAATGCTTTAGTCACCAATTATATTTAATTAATGATATAATAATTACAGCGTTTTAAAAAATTATGATGGTGATTAAAATGATTTTCAGTATACCTTGTTGTTGTTCCGTCTCGTATCCAGTCACCACACATATACTGCAATATGATTTCACAGTGGCTATTCTGATCACCACAAGAATGCTGATTTGTCCTATAAAACATAATGACAATAAGTAAAATATCTGCTGATGGAAATTGATGTTATGCTGCCCTCCAATAAGAGATGTTATTTATCAAAACTGGAAGATAGTAAACAAATCTTTTATGCCATTTCCTCTTTTCAATTATAAGAAATATTGATTTTGTGTAAGCTATTGAAAACATTTATTTCATCTCCTTCTTGTTATAATATTTATTGTGAATAACAATAGCACCGTTAATAACAAAAACTGCCATGATGAGCCATATACAAATACTGTATACGAATACAGTATATAAATAGCCACTTACAATTGATTTAACAGACCAAAAACCTGGTAATTATTTTCATTTATATTAGAGCAACTCAGTAGAAATATAAGTGTCGACCACAGGAATTTGTGTAAACATCATGTCTAATCTAAAAATTCAAATAGTAGCACACACTCAGGGAAAATTTGTTATTCGTATTTTATTTTTCTACTTGGGAAAACTAGCCTAGTTGCTTTTCTGGGAACAATTTGATCAGTTGAAATAACTTATTGCTTTAATAATTTCCCCAAGAGGAATAATGTTGTGCATTGCCTGATTTGATTATTATTTTTTGTTTTGGTCAAACTAATCAGGTTGGTTAGTTTGACAAAAAAAAAATCAAGCTGAAAATGGTTTTAATAAAACAGAATTCTTTAAAATCTTGTAAGTGTTGTGTACTATAGCTTACCATTCTATTTGTAAAGTAGATCCTGTGTAGTAATACAAACTGCCAACATTGTAGCCGCCTCTATTGTTGTTTTGAGAATCAAACAACCTGCAAACAACAACAATTAATCACATCATAAGTAACACACCAAATGTATATCAATGTTAATAATATTGTTTATCAGGCAAGAGAAATACTGTACACACTTACAAGACAAAAAGTTTTCAAAATTTCTATCAATAAATAAGGCAAGATTTTTTTATACCTTATTTTTGCAAACCTGCTGCCCGCCAATAGGATGATTTCGAATAAAAATAAAATCTTATTTTTGGCCAAACAGAAATTCAGAAAAAAAAAAATTGTTTTATTACGTCAGCTGTTGCATTGAAATCTTCAAAAATTAGATGCATATTTTTTCCTAATTATATAAATTTAAAGCAATTAACCTTCCCTTTACTACATTGTTTAGAATCACCAATACAATTTTATTTTTATTTTCTCTTCAATCTGAATAAATCTGAATGGTTTGATTTTGGTCAAACCATTTGCTAAATAATAAAAACAAAAACTTATTTTTTACCACACAGGGTTTAAAAAAAAATCCCGCCTAAGGAGCTAATAATTACTTTAATTAATTAGCCTCCTCCCACGATTTTTTTATTATCACTAACTGCAAAATCTTATAAAAGTTTATGCATTTCAGAATGTTTGCACGATTTTTTTCCCTGGAACTTTTCCACTTTTTATCCAACTTAATTGTTATAAAAACATAAATTGTAATAAAACTTTAGATTGAACTCACCTATTGCCATTGTTCCTTTCTCTCTTTGCTTCATCTAATCTGTTATTACTTCCCCTAAAATCACCAACAAAAGAAAATAATTTGTTATTAAATTGCAAGTGTCAAATAACATTAGAAACAACTGTAACATGGGTTAATATGTGTATTTAATTATTTTAACAATTTATTTAATATTTCAGTGGCCAGCAATTCTGGGGGGAGGGGGCCCTAATAGCCATAGATCAAACGTCAAACGTTGGATTACAGTAGTTGCTTCATCCTTACCATTTCGCTTACAACCATGCGCCACCACACCACTGGTATCAGTGCCAAGGCCCGGGCTTGGCCCTAATAAAAATTTAGTATCATTACAGGGAGCTATGCCTACCTAAGAAACCGACTCATTGCACCACTAATCAACATTTTCGTTAATGCTTAACTAGAAAAACAGGCATTACACATCTTTGTTGAAAAATCACAAAAAATATTCAAGAGAACCTGTGGTCGTACTACCTAGGCTACAGTACTGTACTTTCGAAGTTCCTGTCACCATGGACCTATTAATAATGCTAAGTACAACGTTACCGTACACCTTCGATAGGAATGACAAAACGAAATCATGAGTTTCTTAATAAAAACAAACTAACCTTGGGTTTTGTAAGTACATATCAGCGTTAATTTCAATAACAAACAGTAACAGAACAGCTACTAAGATATTCATTTTGAATGAGGTACCCATTGTACATTAACGATGTTCGACCAGCGATCTCTCGCACTGTAATACCACTTTTGATGTTATCCGCTAAAGGTAGACCTCATAACTACTAACATTATCGCTTACGTAGTTAAAATAGATCGTAAACATTCATTATACATGTTAACTTACAACAATACAGAATATTACGCTATGCGTATAATGTATTTATATAGGCCTATTCTCTTTGTTTTTATTTTCCATTATTATTTAATTACAAAAATTAAAGAAATTATAGTAAGTATTAAGTGCGGAATAATACATGGAAATCCTCAGGGATCATCTTAAAGTTTACACGAAGTCTCTGATCCATACAATGACGTAACTTTGGTCTTATGATTCATGGGCATATTACTGTATACATTTTTATAGGGCCTAAGTTTAGCATTTTTGTTGTAATTTATTCGGTTTATATGAACATTGCTTCAAATATAATATGATGTATTTATAATAGGCCAAATTTTATGCAGGCCTATGCGAGCTATAATCTTTTCAACTGCTGATCAGAACTGCAGAAACCTGTTGCCAATAATAACACGTAACACATAGGCCACAGTATTTAGAATGTTATTATTCTATTACAATGTTTATTTCAAAGACAACTCAAAGCTGATGTTTTGAGGGGTTTTTTTCTCCACGCTAAATCACTTCGCACCAGGAGTGCGGAGACAAACCAGCAATTTTATATTTATTATTATTAATTAAAAATTAATAAATATTTTTTGATTTGCTTAGACTGCACACTTATGGATTCGCCAGCTAGCAATAGTTGGAGTGCATTGGCCGAAGCAGATCATTTAATTAATTAATTCAAAATATCTTTATTGCAATCAAAGTAAGCAGATATTGAATTATATAAAACACTAAAAAAAAAAGTCAAAAGCAGAAATTAAAAAAGACAAAACAAAGATTAAACATAGATTCGAGAGCTACCGTATATATATTAATACTTGTTTTAGTTTTTATTTTCATTATACGTGTGTATTTACAGCTTACGTGTTTTTAATTTCTGGTTATGATTATGATGAGTAGCTAAATTTTTGTTGTTGGGTATTGTAAATGATTTTTTCTTTATTTCACGTTTTTTGGGTTGCCTCGTGAAAGTTAAAAATGCTATGTGGCCCTGCCCAAAAATGAAGAAACTGGGACGATATGTTATAGTTCGACGGTCTGTCAGAGACTGTATTTGAGAGCTGACGGTGTTTCCCAGAAAAGCCGAGCGTCCCACCGTCGAGGATGGACAAACAATCCAGCTGTCAAAAATTATACTATGGTTATATTTGCAATGCCGCTTTCCTCTATTGTTTCCTGATTTGCACCCTCAATTATATATTTACATCTTTATTAATATTTAAATGTACAGTACTGTATGTAAATATTCGATTTCCATAATGAACATTGTTAGACCTATCTTCTTTTGCGTCATTGCTGCTTATGATGGTTTGAAGAGAAGAATACGATGATGATAATAATAATGATGCAGTGGGGTTATCGAGCAAAACCTGGTGGGGTCAGGGGACTCTAGTATCAGCGAAACACAAAATTTAAATACGCAATATCCATTTTAGTTTAGCAATATGGTCAAATAATTTTCGCTAAATAATCTAAATTTACTATTAATACGGAAACACAAAATGGAGTTAGTAGCCGACGTTAACTTGCCCATAAAAAGTGGTTAGGAAATTGGCATAACTTTCAGTATTTGTAAGCTTTTTGTGGCCTCACGAGGCTAGTAGCCTATTTGGTTTTAAGTTATGGCCTGGGAATGATAGCTACAATACTATTTCCGGATATGATCGAATCCTTTTAAAGGAAATGTTATATAGCATTAGCAATACCACCACCACTGTAATATCCACACACACCGAGGATTACTTCGGAATGGTACCATGGCAATGATTCATTGGGGGTGACTAAAACATGAAGTAGGAAATACGAGAAGTAGGAATATGAGAATGCAGATATATGGCCCAATAAAGCAGTTGCGCACACGTCATATTTTTATTTTTATTTTATTTCAGTTTTATACCATTTTCAGTGCGGTTCGAAGCTTTAGTTTCCAAAGTGGAACTCATATTAATAATTAAAAAAAGCAATGAAAGCAAATATTGAACAATGAAAGCAAATATTTGAGAACATCGCCGCTGTTGTGGTTGTCTGTAGACCTATAGATGTTAAATCATCATCATCATTATACCATGGAGTCTTTTGTAAATTTGTTGGTCTTGAACGCACCGTCAATTGACGAGTGCCACTGTAACAAAAGTGTAAGTTCAATAAATTATTATTATTATTATTATTATTATGCCAAACTATCATTATGTTAATATACATCAGGGACCATACCCAACAATCTCGACACGTATCCATTTCCAACAATACCAGTCTTAGACAATACAGTCAACAGGTAAGCATTACGTCATCTCATTGACCAAATATGGACTGTTAATTAGTCACCGCAAGTAGGTTGAATTGAGTCAGCGAACTGTCAACCAATACGCGGATCCTCAATACCAAAGAAACCGAAGATAGATAGAAGCTAAAATTGATACTAGTAGTTTGTAAAATCGTTGGTTCGTTAGACTGTTTCATTCCACAACAGTTTCTCCTGAATATATCTAATATTAAAAGACCAAGGTAAGTGATTTAATTATGGTTTGAATCAACGAGAACCTAGGCCCTTAAAGAAGTGCATGTACCGTTCTGGAGTTGAGATTGGGCTGCCAAAGTAGGTAGGCCTACAGTGGAGTGGTGAGCGCGGTAGGAGCGTGGAGGCCTATGTTGTCAGTAGTAACAAAGCCTGCCTATTGTTGCAAATCAATATATTTTGACTAATTAAACACATGCTATCCAATATATTATAATGTATATGCTCCATAGATCGAGGAGTACGGTATATTTAACAAAACCTTTTGTTGTGTTTGTGAGTAAGAGAGAACTTACTGCACTCAGCTCAAGACTGCTTGTTTGCCTCACTTTCTTGTGCATTTTCCTTTTTGTGTTTTATTGCTGTGATCTGTATTATTTGGTCTTTGTTTGTGAGACTGTACTATTGTGATGCATGGGGTTCCTGAATGATGATCAATTTTATGCCTGCCACAGTTTTCCTAAATAATTGAGGCTTGGCTTGCGCTTCATAACCGCAAGGGAAAGGCGCAATATAAATACCCAGTACCAGTACTGAAGATATTATGACTGTGAACTTATGGCTTAAATTATTTTTTTAATTTTTTAAATTGATTTAATTATATGGACACAGCACATGCACAAAGATTATCAATTAGTGAATATATAAATGTCCTACTTGTAGGTGACAATCCCTTTCACAGGACAAACATATACACAAACTAAATTCTGATCTTTTCCCTGATTTTTCTTATTTAATGGTATTTATAATATTTATTGTTAGCAACAAATATTAATTGTAGATACTGTAAGTTTGCAGTGGTGTAACAAAGAAGAGTCATGAAGCCCTGGCTACAGCTTCTTGGGCGCAGTACACATGGGCCATGGTAAGGACCTGGACCCAGTGAGATAATTGCCAAAACCCCAATCTGTTTCAGCATTTTTAATGTGTTAAAATAGTCCCTAACGGTCAAGGGCCCCTGGAGATATTATTGAATAACTGTTATTGTTAATTACTATCAATTACTCATTCTAAAGCACATGATTTTATGTATTTTGATGTTTATTGATGTTTGATTTACTTTTTTTTATATACTCTCCATTTTTGGAGGGAATCTTGAATAAATTGAAATTGAAAATTGAAATTTAACACCTAAAAGCTTGTACAATAGCTGTTATACCCCTACGAGTTTGTATTTCAGATAAGCTTATAAAATGATGTACAATGAAGATGAACGAACAGAGCTTGAAATATACATTGATGATATTTTCTTTCCAACTTCTGTTACTGTAACATTGTTTGCAATTTAATTTCTATTTACAGCAAAGATGAGGTCATTCCTGTGGTTGTTAGCATGCCTTGCAATAACCAGTGCAGATCTTTACCTACACAATCCCAGAGGTTCCAATAACAGACTTAATGAGCAGTCAGCCAATAGGAAGAATGCAAACAGGATGTTTGACTCTCAGGTGAGGATTCCTTTTTTTTCAAATAAAATCAAATTCTTATTCATCATTAAATTCCATAAAAACCAATTACAAATGCAAAGATAATATAATGATATATTATATATAGAGTGGTATTCATGTATTAAAAATTCTCTAGTAAAAATTATTTAAATTTATTCTTACACTTATCTCTCTGGTAATCCAATGTCATTGTCGTATTATACATTATTTGCTTCAGTGGAGGCGCCAGAGGGCCCCTCTCCATTTTTTATCATTCAAATAATTTTAGATTTAAAATAGTGGCCACAAACACATCTACCTTTTGATTTTTCAATCATTGATCCACCCATTGTGTAAATAATTCAACTTATTGAATTTAAACCAATATACTGTAATTAACCATTGTTAGATTCACTAAACTCCTATGAGAATATTGCACCTGATTGAAAATTAAAGAAGACATTTGGAGTTCGATTTTGCAGATTTTTAGATATATTAAGTTAATAACTTCAACCATGTTGCAAATAATTAGACAATTTGTAATTAATTTACAGAACAATAACAGAGGAGGGTACAACTTTGGTGATTCAACAAGCAATGCAGCTGGGAATGAAAATCAACAGTATAGAATGGTGAGATTACAAAATTATTTATGACACAAAACTACATTCATCCATATCCCTTTTGGTAACATCAACAGTCTGAGCTTTCTGCCTTGTATTGGCTACCATGATACGGGCATTAGCACCATTTGTCAGTTATTGCAGAGGGGCTATTTTCAAAGTGCAGCTTTACAAAATTTATATAATGTATTTTATCTTTAAAAAGAAATGAACCTTCTTTTGTTGTTGCTTGAGAGCTGTATAATATGCGAACAGTAATTGCATTTATTTATTAAAAATTTGACAAAACTGTCCAAAGCAAAACCATGCGACGAGGGCCAACACGAAAGTGCGAAACTCTTGTAACATTCATTCATCAAAACAAACAGTGATTAAAAGAAAATTACATTATGACACAAATATAAATGATAATTAACTTAACCTAAGATTGCTAGAATGGATGATTGTTATTTAATTAATGTTTTATTCAGTTTGCAAACAGTGATAAAAGCCAACTCTAACTAAATATAAATATACTGTACACAACACCTTTTAATTGTAAATTCAATACACTCTAAAATATTAAATGAAACATTGAATTTCTTTGAGTTTGATCAGACAGCTCCCTGGTTTGATGTATATCCAGAAAGTGCATCTCAGTTGGCAAAGCACATGATTTTATGTATTTTAATGTTTATTGATGTTTTGTTTTACTTTTTTTATATACTCTCCATTTTTGGAGGCAATCTTGAAAAAAATTTAAATTGAAAATTGAAATTTAACACCTAAAAGCTCGTACAATAGCTGTTATACCCCTGCAAGTTTGTATTTTAGATAAGCTTATAAAATGATGTACAATTTATTCGGTGTAAACACCAAGGATAACCCACAAAAGTCTAAAGAAGACTTATATTCAGTGTTGGTGGTTATTTGGGCAGTACACCGGGACACAATCCCCTACTCTTTTCCGAATAATGTACTGCGTTCTTTAGCGTGCACACGGGCCATAATGTACACCAACAGCTTAAATGTCTCATCCGAAAGACAGTGGGCGTAACTTTGATTTCAGGCCCTCTATATGAAACACAAGGAGAGTATCGATGGAATTGAACTGGGGACCTAGAGATCTCCACGGTTCAGCACACACACAGTGGCTACCACCAGTTGCTGACTGAGCTAAGCTGATAGATATACAGCCTGATATAGGATTATACTATAAGTGCTAGATTATTATTATGATTATTAAAGTTATAAGATAAGCTCCATCCAAAGATAGTGATGCAGGACATCAAAATTCATTATTTAAAGCTTACAGAATTTCCTAAACTAACTTTGATATTAAATTCCAACCAAGAATTTATCGATTAGATGTTTATTTTAAGTTCTGAACGTCAGCAAAGATTTCAAGCAAATAAAATAACAGTTTGCAATTGACCTTCACAATCAAAACAATCAATGAAATTCAGAAATGAATTAATAAAATTATTCAATCAGAAATTACTCTAGCAAATAAACATCTATTAAAGGTCATGCCGTATTCTCTATTTTCTTTTAATTGTTTGAAATAACAATGTAAAGTTAAATGCTATATTTGTGCACAGAAGCTTAACTAATTGACTGTATTTACGTTACTGTTAATGACAACGCATATATTACTTATCTCCACACACTTGTTAGATGCTCTGCAGGTTTCTTTATTCGCAATATATATAAAATATTTGCCATATCTTCTGTGCAGCTGATCAGAAAATCTCAGGAATTCTAGATTTGCCAAGTAAAGTTACACAGTATCAAACTGTGATGAAGCTGTTTCATGTGCCGACAAAGTGTCTCTGGGAAATTAGGAACCTAAATTCATCTGATTATACCCGTCCTTGATCTTTTCAATACTTGTATTGATTGAGGGTTTTATGGGTATTTGTTAATTTAGGGAATTCATGCAGTAAAGATATTATTTATAGACAGAACAGAACTTAGCAAAATATAGGATCTAATATAGTTTATTTTAAATTTACGGTGATTAAAGATATTTTATTTGTGATGTAACTACTGTACGTTGATTATTGCTGTAGGCTATAGATTATGAAAAATATTATAATATCTCTGATGACTGCTAGCATCTGAACCTGTACAACCTTGTGATAGGGGTTGACAGGTTATAATGAACATTAAGAACATAAAGAAACTACGTCAAAGCAAACAATGAACTACATGCGTAATATTTATGAATGCATTCTGAGAAATAGATAAAAACGAACAATAATGGATTTGAAGAACATAGAAGAAACTCATTGAAAGCAGTGTAGGCGTAGAGTGCATCCTTGTGTGACTAACATTGGAAGGTCACATTGATGGCCCATGACAACATACACAGTTGATAACACTCTACAAAATTATTAGCTATATGTTTCCATAGGTTGAAAAGATGTACAAGTAATATATTGTATATTAATTCAGATTTCATGGTGTGTCCACACCTTTCTCTACTCAAACAAATTTCATATAGATAGGTCAATTAAAGTTTGCAATGTATTCAAAAATACCAACAGGTTTGTGAAAATGAGTAGATAGTGGTGTTAATATCTGGCCTTATCTTATGACCGATCTTCTAAATTGATGTTTGAACAAACTGTAACCACCCCCAAAAGTCAAATAAATGACTCATTTATTGCAGAAGGTTATTTTATTATCAAGTAATTTCTTAAGTTTATGTATTCATGATATGGAAAGTATTTTATCGTTTCAACGTGTACAATCTACCAAGTTGGCAGCTAGCTTAACCTGTTTTGTATGAAGTTGTTCAATAGATAACATGATGTGAATTGGAGCAACAACACTGCTTTTGCTTTAATTGCAGAGAGAAGCATACAAAACAGATTTATACAGATTTGAAGAAGGAAGTTTAATGCTAAAAAAGGATTAGATATATCTTGTTGTATTGGATTTTCAGGGTAGCCTATTTGTGAAGTTGTCATCAGTGATTCAAACTACAAAATCCTAAAAAAAGTTAATCCTGCAATAGGCACTGATTGGCACTTGTTCCATCTTAATTCCTACATTGTTCCTGCTAAAAATAAGCAGCTACTAATTTGTAGGCAGAGTAAATTCCTCATTTCTTGGATTTAGTTCCCATAGAATTCAGCCTTCCTGTGATGAATCGGCAAATTCTATGCGTAGGATATATTTAAAGGTTATTTCCTGGTTCACACCTTTTTCTTCCTTCTCAAGGGTGTTAGTGTTTTTAAAGGTGGTTGTTCACAGCTCAATATATCCCAAAGCTGACCAGGAAGGAAGCAATCTCATTGTTTTATATTATTATTGAAAGGACAAAATGCATGAAAATGATGGGAAAAGTGTTTCAAAGTCATTTAAAAGAAAAAATGTAAATGTATTATCATATATCAAGAAGGAAATTTAGATAATGACCCTGGTGATCTGAGCAGAGGTGATGCTGCACTTAGCAGACATAGGCCTGGGATCAGGATAGAATACTAAAGTTACAAACAGAATTTTACAAGCAGTGAAAAAGGGACAAATTGAAATTAACATTGTTGACAACACCACAGTATACTCACCCATTTGCCTAACATGTCCTAATACCCGCAAACCCCCCTCCCCATCAACCCCTCCCCTGCCTCCCACTTTTACTTTTTTTACTTTTTTTTACTTTTAATAAACATTAATTAATTATAAATGGTTTTTAATTTTATAAGAACCAAATAGATAACAATAAAATTAAAAAAAAAAAACATTTATAATTATATACACAGAACCAGATTTTATTCTTCAATGAATAAAGATTTAGACTCATAAAAGTTATTTAAATGAACCATCGTTTTTTCAGGAGTATTTTATGAGTGGTCCATATATGCGGTATACAGATGCAGAGGGCAACCCTACAGGCGAGGGGCAGTCCTTACTGAACATTGAATGGACCAATCAGCATGGCTGTGGTGGTGATGAAGACACCGACCCTCACAAGACCAACTGCTTGCTGGTAATGCAGTTCATGTGTCAAGATGATGTACCAAGTGCAACAGGTATATTATATATATATTTTCTTATAAATACTACTTACTCATTATTCTAGTTGTATTTGGAGTGGATTTGAATGGTTTGGTGGTGAAGGTGTTTGCCTTCCAATCCCAAGGTCCTGGGTTCAATTCCTGTGGAAGCAGTATTTTTTCTCTGAAACATCTTCAATCCTTAAGTGTCAAAGCATAAGCATTATTATTATTATTTTTTTTAAACACTAGTCACTGGTAGCAAAATATTTTAACAAAGAATGGCTAATAATAATAAATGTACAATTTTCTATATTTTTTTGTCAAGAGTTTTTTCTTGTCAGTTTAGTAAAATTTTCTGAATTTTATTTTTATTGAAAAAAAAAATTATTATTTTTATAATTATTTATTTTAATAAATACCAATTTCAGATTTCATTTTAGTGTAGTATCAGTAAAATTTGAATAACTTACCCTCTGAATAGCAACTTAAACTGGTAGGAAAACTCATCAGCTAAACCAAGTTTATACTATTAAACTAGAATTTGATAAATAATTATTTAATACTCTGTCGGTAGGAACTGATGACACCATTCGAAATGGTCAAAACACCGGAACCCAACAGCACAACCGTATCCAAAACTTAAATGAGGGGCAGGGCAGTGCCAACAATCGTAAGAATGTTGTGGCCTCAAATCGCGGCCTACATGAGCCATGGCAGTGGTATGACAAATGCTACAACAGGGAAAGAAATATGGGTAAGTTATTAAGAATTATGGGTAAGATTTGTAGGTAAGTTTTGTGCAGTATGAGGTACAATTGAAATTGATGAACATGAATCATGTATATATATATATATATATATATATACCTTTATTTGGCTCTTAAGGGGAAACTCTTGTCTATAATTTCGCCTTAATGTTGTTTAAGTATAGCGACACTACTTTCGCCTTAACGTACTGTTTTTAACCCTCTTCATTGTTTTAGTTTTCCCCTATGACAGATCTAAGCTGTTTTATATCTGTCTCTTATACACATCTAGATGTGTATAAGAGACAGTACTTGATCTTTTCAATACTTGTATTGATTGAGGGTTTTATGGGTATTTGTTAATTTAGGGAATTCATGCAGTAAAGATATTATTTATAGACAGAACAGAACTTAGCAAAATATAGGATCTAATATAGTTTATTTTAAATTTACGGTGATTAAAGATATTTTATTTGTGATGTAACTACTGTACGTTGATTATTGCTGTAGGCTATAGATTATGAAAAATATTATAATATCTCTGAATCAATATAATAATATTATAATATCTAGCATCTGAACCTGTACAACCTTGTGATAGGGGTTGACAGGTTATAATGAACATTAAGAACATAAAGAAACTACGTCAAAGCAAACAATGAACTACATGCGTAATATTTATGAATGCATTCTGAGAAATAGATAAAAACGAACAATAATGGATTTGAAGAACATAGAAGAAACTCATTGAAAGCAGTGTAGGCGTAGAGTGCATCCTTGTGTGACTAAGACAGTATATACACATATATTCATTATATTCATTTAATTTCTATATGGTCATTAAACATTTTGAGTGTGTGGCAAATTTATTATTTATTTATTATGTTAATTTATTTATTATATTATATTATTATTATATTTATTATTTTATAAGATTTATGGCACACATATCCAGATAACTGCTCAAGGTTTTTTTTTTTTACCTAGTGTACTGGGTACAGAATCAATCATACACAACATGCGACCTTCCCGTGGAGCATTCCTAGATATGCCTGTAATCACCACTGCTAATTTTATTCCGAATCATTCACCTCCTACCAGATACCCATTATACCCCTGGGTGAAGAGAGGCAAATGCAGATAAAGTATCTTGCCCAAGCACACAAGCAGTGTGATAAGCATTGGCCCTGAACCCCCAACCTTTCAATTGGAAAGCCCAACACCTTACACGCTGTGTAACATTCTCCTACTCTACTGTCATATCATTCTACCAAAATTTTAATTGCATCAATTCAATTTACAGGTCTTTTTACTGCTGACCAAAACCTGCAAACTAATAACGGTAATGGATACAGCTCAGCGATTTACACTCGACAGAACCCACAAGGAACACAGAGGGGGTATGAGTGCCCAGAAGAACGTGACTATTACCCTTACTGGCATCCCACCCCCTGGAGAGATGTTGCACTGCTTGTACAGAATGTCTCAGAATGCAGGTTGGTTGATAATGTACAAAAAATGTTATGGGAATCAGTCAATGCTAGCTCAACATCATTACAATGTGTAATAATAATAATGATAATGATAATAATAATAATAATAATGATGATAATGATAATGATAATGATAATAATAATAATAATAATAATGATAATGATAATAATAATAATAATAATAGTAATAATAATAGTAGTAGTAATAATAATAATAATAATAATAATAATAATAATAATAATAAAGCTTTTATTACTATGAAGAAAAGGTAATAACCTAGAAAAAAAACTGGTAGGGTATAGGATGTTCTTAGTGCCAGAAATCCTGCTGAAGGTCCAGCAAACCCTTTGGAGGTCCAGTAAATCTGGAAAACATATTTACATTATGACTGTGCCAACCTAATCCCTATGACAACAAATATATCCATTTTTTAAACGGTTAGAAGGTATAGTTGCTAAATGTGTAGGCCTATTGTAGACACTTTGAAGACAGGATGAGATGATGAATATGAATTCTGTTTGATTTATCACAGCAAACTCCAGGCAGAAAGCTTTAACGTCCAACAATACTATGAGTGTGTGGAGTACTACGGCAATGGCCAACGCAAACACTGGTCAAGGTACAACAACCAGGCTGACTGTGAAGCCAATAATGGTGAATGGCTAGCTTTTACCGGCTACTTAGAAACAGCTCAAGGTAAGTAAATTGTGGTGATTAGCTAATAGTATAGCCAGGCTCTTTTTAGTGTGTTATTTGTTATAATTTATTTTTATAAACTACTTACCTGTATATACTGTTATATTTTTTTCTTGCTTAAAACAATTATTAATTTATGATTATATAACGCTGAAAACCACTGTTATAATAACAACATGTAATTATAGTGAAATGTTTGCTTACTGTATATAGTGCATAATGCATGAATAATAATTATTCATTATTTGTCCTCATTATAAATCAGAAATTTACACTGGGCCCCCGTCGATCTGCAGCTGCCACAGTTGAGCGCCATCCGACTTTACTACAACAAACCCGTCTAAGTCTCAATATGAAGGTTATTCGAGGAGCTAAGCGATCAGACTCCAATTCAAACCCAATGCTGGTTGGGTTTTAATCGAGGTCTTCAACACAAGAAGCAGGAACAATCTCTCAGCCAGAGCCTCAGTTATAATAATACAAGTATTAAAAGTTATGTTTAATTTCAATATGATTCCAGAATTTGGCACAGAATCAGCATGCAATGCAGCCAATAACAACCAAGATAGTGTCAAGTACATATGGGGTAGGCCTGAGGATGGTCTAGCTCTTCAGTGCTTGGTTGCCTTAAACCCACCTGATTGCCTGCAAGCCCCATGGACCAGGGACAACCATCTTGGAAACACAAGGACAGGGGAAAATGCACAGTATACCATGACACTTCCCTACTTTCCATCTGGAAAAGCAAAGCGATGTGCATTTAGAATGAGGTAAGAAACTTGATGATATGTAATTTTATGGGAGTAATTTTTTTTTTTTAATAGTTCGGGGAAAAAAAAAACAAACAATAACTACGGTATACGGAACAATAATTATTTAAGTTCATTACAAAAAATAATAGTAATGCAAATGCATTTGCCACAGTTCGAGAGAGACAAAAGCTAAAAGCTAATCTCAAGTACTGCAGGGGCGGATTTGGGAGGAGGAGGAGGGGTTTTATGAGCCAGCCCTGCACCCCCACTTTCTAGAAAGTAAAAAAAAATAGAAAAAAGGGAAGAAAAAAAAATTATTGATGGGCATCTAGGAAACTTCCAGGGAATTCCCCAGACCCCCCTGGGGTAGTGTTTTAGCCTTTTGGACAACTCTTTTTAATATTATTTTTATTTCTCAATTCAGGTATAACATTAGTACAGACGATTATGATCCAGCCAATACTGATGCCAGCCACAATCAGAACTAGTAAGTATACAAGCTATGTTTGAGGAGTAAATGTTAAAATTGGCTTAATTATATCAAAATCTGCATGTGTGATTTATGCACACAACTATACTTAGTGTAATATTCATGATCTGAAACTGACCATAAACTATTTTGTATGAAATTAAACTATTAAACATAAACTATTTGTTTACTATTATTTACATAAACAGCATTATAAATTATATGCTGCAGTTATCAAAAACTCACAAATATCATGGTTGGTGGTAATGAGATGATAATGATTATATAATAGTAGAGATGGTTATGATGATCATCAGTAATGAGGCTAAATGGATGACTGTGACAATAGACAAAACAGCAATTTATCGCGCTGTTGACGAAATTAAATAAATTAAATAAAAATTGCCTTAATGATGATGCTGTTGATGATGCTGAAATAAATGGTAATGATGATGATGACGATGGAAAATGTTATGAAGTTTATAAGCTAACAATAAAGTTGTGATGATTCTTATAATTTTTTAATAAGAGGGTTTTTGTAGCTTGATGTTAATTTGAATTATGATGCTGCACATGTTGATTTTGTGGATATTAAACAACTAAGTTACATTACTAACTACATTTTATTTTTTACTAAAGTCAAACAGGCGAGATATCACCGATCCAGAATAATCCGAATGTGGACGTTGGGGCAGACAGCGTTCCATTGCGTCTTGCTGTTAACACCGCTCAGTATGGCCGCGTCTTTCAAGACAGGTCACACGCCTTCAAGATTGTACCCCGACCAAATCGTGAAGGCACGTGCTTTGAGTTTACCTAATTTTAGTTTACAGTTACTTTACATTTATTTCAATTAACTGTAATTTAAATGCTTTTAATGTATTTACACTTTGTACTTCAGAATTAGAAACCTTCCTTTTTACTGGATACCCAATCAATGTGGGGATATTGTTTTTCCTTTGTCCTGATAACAAAAAGTTAAATTTCATACAAAAAAAAGAATTATAATGAAGAGTTAAGAACTAGAAGCAAATTTAGATCTTTGAAAGATTTTAAAGCAAGTGAGTGTATTATAGTGGTGCGAATATTTGATTATTCCAAAGTTTCACAGAATGATAATTAAAAGTAACCTACAAAGTGTTTTTAGGTTATTATATTTTACATTATTTTAATTTCATTGTTATTATAGTAATGTTAATATGTGGTGTTTATTTCAGGTATTGAATCAGCAAAGATCGTAAACTTAAACGTTCGTGGAAAGCGCGGCAACATAGTTCAGGTGTACCCAGCGATAGAGTATGACTTCACGCCAACACGGTTGGAGATTAATGAAGGTGATATGATCCATATACAGTGGACAGGTATGATGACCACAAACAAACGTTGTGTTTAATATGTTTTATATCAATACCCTTATAGGGCTATGGTCAAGTACAAACACCCTGTACATAATAATGCCAAGTAATTATATAGCACCAATCAATGATCAAAGGCGCTGAGCATTATTACCTCTGGTCACTGGGTAACATACAGTCCAACCTTCTCTACTCCCTGGGGTGTATACCTTGTTGTACGCACAAAACTAGTACTGTACAGCCAATGCAACAACATCATACTGGGTAGCATTAAACATTGAACATAATTTTGTTTTAGGGTCCAATACTCATAACAATGGAAACCCAGCTGGAGATGGACAGGCTGGTGATGCTGGAGAAGGCAGAGGGGGTAAGTTTTCAAGATTTATCAGCTATGAAAGATTAAATTGATTTAATTTACTTGCTTTTTATTTTACACATTCAAAAGTTTTCTGGTCAATTTGGAATTTTATTCTATAAAACTAAATCTTGTTATTTTGGGTGTAATTAAATCTGTAGACTGCCTATTCTTTGTTATTATTTAGGTCTTTTTAATGCAAGCATATGTAAATTATTATCATCATTAATGAAAAGGTATAAAAATAAAAACAATTTTTCCTGATTTTTACAGATGTATAAGTAAGGATAAGAGTGCATAAAGTAGTAGCCAGTACCAATTTATGGGGTGTTTTTTTTTTTTTTCAGTACCAATCTATGGGGTGTTTTTTTTTTTTAGTAAACACCAAATGATTTGGAAGGTTTCATTGAATTCTTTTTCATAAAGAGTATAATATTTAATGCTGAAAAAATAAAATCACTAAGTAAGTTAAAAAAAAAACATGTTTTGTTATGCTCAAAAGAAGGTATTTTCTCTTTTGAACAACTGTTGTCTATTTGTCCTTTTTTGCTATGTGCTTTTGTGTGTTCTTTGAGCACAGGACTTCTTTAGTTTTAAATGAAAAGATATCCTTAAAAAATGATTTTCTTTTTTAGGAACCGACCGCAATAATATTGTGCAGATACCAAGTGCACTTGACAACTATCCGCTGCCCTTCGACAGGACCACTATGTGGCAGAACGCTAACATCGTGTGGATTCACTCACAGGCCGACTCGGAAACGCAACCACCACCGGACTTCTCCGCCGTAGACCTGGCAGTCAGCATGGCAAGCTCTGGGTATTACCAGTGTATGTCCGCTGCAACCTGCGGAGGCCAATCGGCTCAAAATAAAAACAAAATTAATAATCTACTAGATAATGCACCTGCTTCTTACAAGGGGGCGCTGTTACAGATACCTGCTGGCGAGTATCATTATATGTGTACGAGGAACAATAATTTCACCAATCGTAGCCAAAAAGGAATGCTTATAGTAAAGGAAACTAATAATGCAAAAAAGAAATAACTATTTTGAATTACTCCTCTATAAACACGTGTGTATTACAGTATTGCATTACATCATGTTTAACACATAATACATAAACACAATTTCCTATACTCATCAAAGTTTGTGCCTCATCTGGTAATACAATACCTCAAAACTTACCTAACGTAAATCTTAATCTTAAATATCTGTGTTGTACTTATATAAGTATGGTATATTTTTGATAAATGGTATATAGTTTAGAATATCTTTTACATTGTATAGATTTCAAAGTATTAATATGTACTGTATATATTGAATATCATTTTTGTAATTTCTTAAAATTATTTCATAATTACAGCTAGAAAATAAAAAATATGATCTAGAACAGTGTATATACATATTTAATATTTTAATTGTTATATTTCAAATTACACAATTGTAGAGAAACTTAAATGTGTGTAGCATAATTATAATTTTTGGGTACTATGTTTCCTAATCCTAATAAATAAAGTCAATTTTTTCAGACATTTCACCAGAAAATAGTCCTTTCCAATCAGAAATTGCATTCCATTTTATATGAGGACAGTGATATGGGTCAGTGGGTACAGCTTGTATTTTTAAAAATTAATCTTTTGTATTTGGTCTGCCGGTCAGACGAAAAATCCTTGAAATAAAGTGAGCTTAAGACTGCAGTTTGTTTACTGGCATCTTTCCTTGTCAATGTCTATTATGGCCTACTTGGATTTAATTACCTTGTTGCGATCCGAGACCGCCCAACATGCATGGCACTTGAAGAAGAAAATTAGCATTTAAATATATAATATGATGGCAACATTCATCACTAGATAATTATGGGAATGGAAATGCTGATTTGAAGACGTCTGAAAATTTAAAGCAATACTTAAAATTAACCATGTAATAGCTTGTAGGTAGCATCTGGTAAATAATATTGAAATAAATTTACAGCTTAGGACTGGGAATACAGTGCTACATGATACCAAACCGTTAAACGAAAGTTCCTTATAGTTGTAGGAAAAAGGGTTTCCGGTGATCTGAATATCCTCTTACTACCCAGCACTGTAATGCAGAGTCTTAGTGACGAAGCTCGTTTTTTTAACGAAGAAAAAAATAAATAAAAATAAATTTAAATTCTGAGAGTGCCATAGTGGAGTCATAATTATAGATTTTATTTCTTACCTCAACACAAACCATGAGTTGGCTGACGTGTTATAGGCCCTCAATTTGTGAAAGTTCATCACTGGACCAGCTACTGACTGTGGGGCGGATTCAAATGGGGGAAAAGAGACTACTGTATTGATATTTAAATTGTTAGTCTGAGAGTGCAATTCTGGATTCTGGCCATTTGAGATGCCACTTCCATAAATGTTTTTGCCCTAACCCCTGAGGTGCTATAAACCCTCATCTGTGAAAGTCCCTCCCTAGTCAGAATTCGATTAAATAAGACCATAATTATGAAAGAAATCTGAGCTCCACCACTCGACCCGAGCAGGGCTCAGCCCCTATACGGCCCAGCCATTTTGGTCCACATAGATTCTCACCCACCCAAAAAAAATCCTGCGTACGGGCCTGGACGTATTAACAATGAAACATATTTAATTAGAATAGGCCTATATGCGTGCAAAGTATAGGCCTATGCATAGATCGTCATTTGCGTACGTGCATTACTGTCATTAGCGAGCATAAGTTACATACATGCGAGCTTACGGGCGTTTCGCCACTGTTATGTAGTACATTTCACGAAAACATAATTTTGGACGCACTTCATGTTTCGGAAGTGTACTATCCAAATAAATTATTATTAAAGGGACTATTGTCAGATGATCAGATAGCGCGGCCTACATGTTTGATTAGGAGCGGATCCACTGGGGGGGGGGGGCGTCAGTCACGCCGAAAAATTAAAAAAAATTTAGATTTAAGAGTTAAAAGGAAGAAAGAAAATAGGGAAACAGAAAGTGTACCCTTGAGTTCAGTGCCGATCCAGCAGTGGGCGAAAGGAGAGCTCGATTATTTGACCACTCACCAATTTTAAATTTTCAATTAATTGATTTTCCAACGAAAAATCATGCTCAGTGGCGTAACGCCTAGGCTATGCGCTCTAGTGCGGCGGTCCCTTACGGGACCCTTCTGTGCCCTAACCCATATTAATCCTGCGGGGTGGGATACTCAGTCGTCCAGGACTACATTTGTCAAAATTTAAAAAAAAAAAGTATATTCAAATTTTTAGTCTAAATTAAGTGCCATTTCCGGGAATTTAGAGGTAGGTGCCATAGGATAGACCTTTGCGACGTCCGTGAGGGGAGGAGCAGCATCTCCCAAGTAAGTAATAATTTTGTTGAGAAACACTGCTTTTGAAAAAGCACTTTTACCGTCTGAGAGTGCCATTTCCAAGCGTTTAGAGAGGGGACTATTCTTCAAATTTTCCCCAAGGGCCACCGACCCTTGTGCCCCTACCCATAGGTTCCAGTAGGTTCCTCGCTCTATAGCACCCTGATTCAAAAGGGCTTTGTTGCTACATGACAGCATAATGTGTTACTGGCATCGACTGTTGGACCTATTCTTAAAATTTGGGTGTGGAATAGATTGCACACAGCACCCCCACCCCCGTCAGGATACACCCCTGTTGATTCGCTGCTCTTTGTGTCTCCAGCTTTGTATTATCCATATGCAATAAATACAGTGCAATTTGAAATGTTGTGGTTTGTGTTCCTTTCTTGACTGATAATGATTTTGATATAAAGACACCGATACTGTTTAAGCCCACATCCACCTCGTCCATGTATACGTATGTATTTGTGTATGCTTTGTTCAACCCCTTAACCTAACGATAGGGAAGTCAGTCGACCTTAAAACACTGAGAGTGTCATTCCTGTTGGTATGTTGATCAGGGGTGGGAGGGGGAAAACCTGGGGCCAGTGTCCGGTCGAGGGAAAAACACAATTCGTCTAAAATCGATTAAACAAGCCTCTGAAACCCCTAAATTTTCACTTTAGGAAGATTTTGATTGACATCCGACCACGCCTACTTTGCTCTCGTCGAGACCTTGCAGATATCAGGGGCGACTGGCGTCACCCCTGACGTTGATCTGCTTATTGTATTTGTTGTCTGGGAGTAACTGTAGGCCTATTAAACATTGGAGATTCCATTCACTCAGCTGACAAAGTTCACAAATACATCAAGACGAAGTAAATAACAACAACTAAAACGCATTTGTTTTTACTTATTTTATTCACTGTCAAAAAATGTCCGAAATGAATAAAAATTTTCCGAATAGAGAAGAGTAGTGAATTGTGTGTGGAGGAAACCGAAGTACTCGGGGAAAACCACACGACAGTGACAGGAGATTAGCTCCAGTAAGGAAAGATCTGAATTCTCACCCTTGTCACTGCCCCGTGAGCTTAACCACACGTGTTTATGCAATTAAACTCATTGTAGGCCTATAAATAACAACATGCATAAAATACAAATTACCTCAACAGTTACATTTTATTTAATTTTGATTTAATTTTATGTTTATTTTATCATTCCTATCATCAATTAATTACTATTGAAAATATCAATTTATTCTATATAATTTATATTATATCAATTTTAATTTTATGTATTTTATATGAATGACAAAACAAAAATGAAGGAAAAGAAGCGAAGTAGAAAAGGCACCATTTCTCTGTTCCTAATACTTACATAACCTACCTATACTTACTCTACAAGCCAGGGATGGAGAAAGGTACCTTCAAGAAACAGCACAGAAACAACAAAAAATAAAGTGATAATGAATTTGAATGAGTATAAATGGTATCATTCCTCTTAGTGCTTAATTACCCTAACTGTACTTAACTACAGCTTACTATAGCCACCTAGCTAATCGGATGCCTAGAACCTCCCACTAAGAGGAAACTTACAAAAGAGGAAGATACCTTTTAGTTAGAAAAAGTATGAGTGCAATTAGTATGATGTAATGAATAATGGCATTAGTATTTCGATTAAATTATATTTATTTATATTTTAAATATATTATATATATTTATAGCTATTTTATAAATTAAATATTTGTATATAACTGTTGAGGTATAAATTTACAAATGAAAAACATTGCATAATACAAACATTGATAAGGGCCGGCAAAACAAAGTCAGAATTATAAATAAACTTACATACATGTATTTATAATCATCGAGAATTAGCCATTTGAAATACCATGATTATTATTAATGCGATTTTATAAGAAAATGGGTGCTCCTAAAATGAAATTGCGTGCCTTTCCATCTACATTCTCGATTTGCGCACATCATGACATCTTGCCCGTCTACCTGGAAACATCAAAATTATATGCTTTAGAACTATGTACATAACATACACATTAATTGTACTTGTTGATTTACGTTGACGTCATGACATTGTTCTAATGAGAGATCACTCACAATATATACTTCCCATGCTTCATAAGAGTGAATTTATGCAATTTTTCAGGATCAGCCCTTAGTATATATTTATTTATCAAATTAAAAAGCAACAAATAATCAACTAGTAATAGTATATATATTTGTAGGTGTACCAAAGGCTAGGGTATTCTGTTTATTATATTAAAATACAAATGTGTTGTTTATTATGAACGTTGAGAATAAATATTTAGTTTATTGCAAAATGAAATTAACAAAAAATGAAGAAACAGTAACAATCCAATTAACAATAGCACAAAATATACATAATACTTCCATTCTCTAAAGCAAATGTATGTGTTTTTATAATATACAGGCTGACTTTATATACATACATTTTACGATAACACGTAAGGTAGGGGAAGTATCACTCCTATGGTCTACTTTATTAATGTGAATTCATAGTTTTAATAACTACAAAATGAAATTATTAGATTTATTCCCCTTACGTTCCAGCTTTATACTCGATTGGCCCACATCCAAGGCATTCCGCACATTTATCTGAAAAATATTAAAAAAAAATGATTTAGGATAAAAAAAAAAAAATGGGAATCATATACTGTATTTAGATTTTTCTGGTTTTAATATCATTTAATCTGTGAATATACCTAAAGTACACCAATACAAATACAGTTAAATACTTTTTAGTCGACTATACCTTAATATTCAATCATCTTGTCAGTTGAAATATCAAATTTGTGTACCATCTTCTTTTTCTGGTTTTGATTTGTATCTGAAGTACATATAAACACACAGAAAATGATTTTTACTCAATTTACCATAGTAATTTATCATCTCAGTTAAAATATCGATTTATAGGCCAAACAAAAGATATTGTACATTTTCATTACTTTACAGTAATGCAAATAAATTCAAAACGATAAAAATAGTGCAAATGAGATGTCACTCAATGTACCTTAACTCAGTCCTTGTAGCTGTCTTTCTGCAATTGTCTACCATGTTCTTTTTCTGGTTTGGAGGTCCTTCAATCTGTGAATATAGCTAAAGCACACCAGATATACAGTTCGCAAAAATTAATGCTTTTAAACCCGACTTACCTCAATATTCGATAATCTTGTCAGTTGAAATATCAGTTGCTCTCCCTGTCTGATCGATGCCGCAATGCCAAACTGTACTGTGCAGGGGAAATTCAAATACATATTTATACTATGTCTATTCTCACATTGTGATATCAATGGATACAAAGAAAGAAATAGAAAACCCTGGCATTATTTTACATTATGTATGTAATCAGAACTAATGATATTAAATAAATATTAGGTAGTTCTTGTTCTTGTTTAATATATCCCACCAAAATTTCCTATATTATCATTACAATGTGTAGGAAGATTATTCCATATCCGAAAACCTTGATCATGTTTGTTTTGTTCAGTTGTTTTTCATTTCTAGACATTCAAAATACCATGATTACATGGTCAACTTCATTAATGTTATATTCATAGTTTCTAAAAATGAAATTATTTGCTTTATTCCCCTTACGTTCTTTTCTCAGCTATAGTTACAGTAGTTATCCTCGATTGGGCACATCCATGGCATATTCCGCACATTAATCTAAAAATGTCAAAATAATATAGAACGGTTCAGTACCAATATTTAGCTTTTTCTGGTTTTCAGCTGTTTTTAAATTGGACCACTGGAAATAAGTTAGTAAATAATACCTATATTCTATCATCTTGTCAGTTAAAATATTTGTGTGCCATCCTCTTTTTCTGGTTTTGAGTTCTTTCGACCTGTGAATATATCTAAAGTACATAGAAACACATAGTGAATAATGTTTACTCAATTTACCTTAATATTTATATTCATGTCTAACAAATAATATTCTAAATCGTCATAAGTTTACAGTAATGCCAATAAAAAATTCAAACGATAACAATATTTGCAAAAATACTCAATCTACCTTAACTCACTCCTTGTACTTGTTGTTTTGCTGCAATTGTGTACCATGTTCTTTTTCTGGTTTGGAGTTCTTTCAATCTGCGAATAAAGCTAAATCACACCATATATACAGTTTTTAAATGCTTTTTAACCCGACTTACCTCAATATTCTATAATCTTGTCAGTTGAAATATCAGTTGCTGTCTCTAGTCCGATCCGACACCGCAATGTCAAATAAAAACTTTACTGTGTAGATGAAATTCATATACATTATTATAATGTCCTATATATTTTAAATGTTTAGAAAGATTATTCGATGATCCTAGAAACTTGTTTTTCATTTCTAGAGAATTAGTCACCATTTATTATACCATGATTACGTGGAACTTCATTTATGTGAATTCATAGTGTCAACTTCAAAATTAAATTGTTGCTTTATTCAACTTACGTTGCTTTTCCAGCTATATTCTGAATTGACCCACATCCATGGCATTCCGCACATTTATCTGGAAATATCAAAATGATATAGAACTGTTAAGCACCAAACAAAATTTAGCTTTTTTTGGGTTTAAGCTCTTTCAATCTGTGAATTGTGTACCATCTTTTTCTGGTTTTGTTTTTGGAAATGATTTTTACTCAATTTACCTTAATATTCATCATCTCATCAGTTAAACCCGACTTACCTCAATATTCTATAATCTTGTCAGTTGAATATCAATTGCTGTCTTAGGTCTGATCCGACGCCGCAATGCCATATCGTCATATCAAATACAAACTGTACTGTGTAGAAGAAATTCATATACATATTTATACTACGTCCATTCTCAAACGAAAAAAATACATTGTGATATCAATGGATACAAAGAAAGAAACAGAAAGGGCTGGCAAAACAAGTGTGCATGTTGTGTATATACTTGCTCATGTCAGATACATATTTTGTATAATGTGCGTAATCAATATGATATTCAATACATTTTTACTATAGTTCTTGTTGTTTAATATATCGCATCAAAATTCCCTATATCTTTTAATTGTTTAGGAAAATTATTCCATATTCGAGAACTTCGATATGTTGTTGAATTGTTTAGTCTTATACAAAAGCTTTTTCTCATTTCTAGAGAATTAGTCCCCATTTAAAATACCATGATTACATGGTAATCTTCATTAATGTGAATTAATAATTATATTAATAATTAATATTCTATCATCTTTCATTTTCTGGTTTTGAGTTATTTCAAGATGTGAATATATCTAAAATACATAGAAACACATAGTAAATGATTTTTACTCAATTTACCTTAATAATTCATCATCTTGTCAGCTAATATCGATTTATAGACCTAACAAAAATATTCTACATCGTTATCAAACTTTAGAGTAATGCAAATAACAAATTCAAACGATTTTTATTCAATTTATATTAATATTCATCATCACAGTTAAAATATCGATTGATAGGCCTAATAAATAATATTCTACATTTTCATTACTTTACAGTAATGCAAATAACAAATTCAAACTTACTCCTTGTATTTGTAGCTGTCTTGCTGCATTTGTCTACCTTGTTCTTTTTCTGCTTTGGAGGTCTTTCAATCTGTGAATATAGCTAAGGCACACAAGATATACACTTCGTAAATGCGTTTTAACCCAACTTACCTCAATATTGTATAATCTTGTCAGCTGAAATATCAGTTGCTGTCTCTAGTCCGATCCAACACCGCAATGGCAAATACAAAATGTACTGTGTAGATGAAATTCAGGTACATATTTACACTAAGTCCATCGTGATATCAATGGATACAAATAAATCAGAAAAGGACTGGAAAAACAAGTGTGCATGTGTTTGTGTATGTACTTGCTCACATACATATTTTATATTATGTTCGTAATAAAAAATAATGATATTCAATACACATTTAATACATTTAATATAGTCCTATAATATATGTCATCAAAATTCCTTATATCTTTTAAATGTTTAGGAAGATTATTCCGTATCCGAGAACCTCGATATGTTAGTCTGTTTAGTCTTATACAAAAGTTGTTTCTCATTTCTAGAGAATTAGTCCCCACTTAAAATACCATGATTACATGGTCAACTTCATTAATGTGTATTTATAGTTTCTATAACTATGAAATTACTTGCTTTATTCCCCTTACGTTCGTTTTTCAGCTATATCCTCGATTGACCCACATCCATGATATTCTGCACATTTATCTGAAAATACGAAAATAATATAGTTAAGCACCAAAAAAATGAGAATAAATATTTAGCTTTTTCTGGTTTTAAGCTGTTTCTAAAGTGCACCATTGGAAATACAGCTAATAAATACTTTTTTACTCGACTATACCTTGATATTTTATCACCTTGTCAGTTGAAATATTGGTGTACCATCTTCTTTTTCTGGTTTTGAGTTCTTCAAGATGTGGATATATCTAAAGTACATATCGTCATTCCAAATACTGTGTAGGTGAAATTCATATACATTGTTATACTACGTACATTCTCAAAAACAAAAAAGTACAGTGTGAAATCAATTGATACAAAGATAAAGAAATAGTAAAGGGCTGGCAAAACAAGAGTATATTTTTATATTTACATGCTCACATACATATTCTAAATAATATTCATTACATATTTAATAGCTCTTCTTTAATATACCGCTTAAAATGGCCTAAATTTTTTAATGTTTAGGAACATTATTCGATGATCTGAGAACCTTGATATGTAAATTCGATTTCATTTCATTTCTTTAGGCACGAGTGCCAAGGATATGCCAATCAGTGAACTCAATCACTATCTTAGGTGGCATCTGTTAAACAACAAGGGACTGATTGGACTAGTACACCGGGTAACCAGCTACTCATCTCGAAGGATGTACTGGGTTCTTTAAAGCCGGTTACTCACTGCGTGCGACGGCGACGCGACGGCAACACGATAAAGAACGCACACGAATACGCGGACCCAACGGATCGTCTTTTTAATGAGGATCCGTTCAGATTGCCACTGACAATCAGCAGACGGCGTTGCGTCGTCTATCGCTCGCCGGAAGCAAATGTGAATTTGTCGTGCGACGCAGTGAGTGTCCTGCTTTAAGTGCACACGGGACATATACGTACACTGGGCCTATGGAAGTCTTTGTCCGAGAAGACTTGTTCCACCACCGGAACCATTGGCGAGTGAGCCGTTCTAGATAATTAGTCACCATTTAAAATACATTGATTACGTGGAACTTCATTTATGTGAATTCATAGTTTCTATAACTACAAAATGAAATTATTTGCTTTATTCCCCTTACGGTGCTTTTTCAGCTATATCCTCATCCATGGCATTCCGCACATTCATCTGAAAATATCAAGATGTATAGAACGGTTAAGCACCAAAATTATTAGAATAAATATTTAGCTTTTTCTGAGTTTATGCTCCTTCAATCTGTGAATATATCTAAAGTACACCACTAGAAATAAGGTTAGTTAATACTTTTTCTACTCGACTATCAAAATATCAAAATTGGTTTCGAGTTCTTTAAATCTGCGAATGTTATAAAAAGTACAAAGAAAAACAGTTAGTAAATGAGTTTTATTCAATTTACATTAATATTCATCATCTCAGTTAAAATATCGATTGATAGGCCTAATAAATAATATTCCACATTTTCATTACTTTACAGTAATGCAAATAACAAATTCAAACTATAACAATATGTGCATAGGCGTAGATCCCGGGGGGATGGAGGGGATATATCCCCCCAATATTTGACAGGGGGGGATGGTCCATTGAATCATCCCCCCCCCCCCAATATTTTGACTATGTCTGGGATAAAATGGATCTTTACACACTACAAAAGACTGTCACAGAAATAATTTGCACTGTCTTATGCGCTTACAAAGATGAAAATTAGCATAATGTATTAATGTTGATAACAAAATTATTTTATCTGGTACCAATCTAAGCTCTACTTTCCTTAGATGTTATATGTGCTTGCAAAGAGAGCCACATTTCACACTGAAGGGTGTGTACGACATCAGTAATGTTATATCAATTGCAAGAATGTTTAAGGTTATATCGGTTGATGAGGAATTTATTGATTAGGCCTATAACAGCAAATTGCATCAATTTATTTTGCAAAAACAAGGTTTCCAGCTTCAGAGGGGGGGGGGCACATCTCCTGTCCGCACAAGGGCACACATTAACACCAGGCGCGTAACAGGGGTCTTGGGTCAGAGTGGGTATATTTTTTTTAAATTTTTTATTTCAACCATCTTTAAAGAGGGTAACCCTTCTAGTTTAGCCCAGTAGGTTAACTGACATTCAGGGGCCTTCTTTAATAAAATTAAAGAACAGTACAAACAACATCATCACAACATAATAATAATAATAATAATAAAAATAACAATAACAATAACAATAACAATAACAATAACAATAATAATAATAATAATAATAACAACATACAATCCTCATTTCCCGGTGAGTAATTTACCATACCCACCCCACTCCCCATCATTCCACATTTTCATTACTTTACAGTATGCGAATAACAAACGATAACAATATGTGCAAAACATGATATGTTACTCAATCTACCTTAACTCACTCCTGGTATATGTAGCTGTCTTGCTGCAATTGTCTACCATGTTCTTTGTCTTTCAATCTGTGAATATAGCTAAAGCACACCAGATATACAGTTCGTAAATGCTTTAAAACCCGACTTACCTCAATATTCTATAATCTTGTCAGTTGAAATATCAATTGCTGTCCTTAGTCTGATCCGATTTTGCAATGAAATATCTTCATATTAAATACACTCTGTACTGTGTAGACAAAATTTATATACTACGTCCATTCTCAAAACGAAAAAATACATTGTGATATCAATGTATACAAAGAAATAGAAAAGGAACAGTGTGTATGTGTTTATTTATATATAAATTTATATATATATATATATACACATATATACCGTACATGCTCACAAATATTATTTTATATAATTTACGTAATCAAAAACAATGATATTCAATACATATTTAATAGTTATAAATAGTTAAATATATCGCATAAAAATTCCCTATATCATTTAAATGTGCAGGAATGTAAACAGAAGTTTAAACAATAACAATGCAATATCAATAGTACAAAATGGTGTCACAACCAAAAAAAAAAAAAAATTCTTATTAAAGACCAAAGCAGTTAAAAAAATAATAAACCTATTCTATATTCCATATCTTGAATAATATAAACAGAAATTGAAACCTACCTTAACTCTAATAACCTTGTCTTGCTGCACCTATCTACCATGTTTCTGGTTTTGATTCCTTTCATTCTGTAGTTATTTAATAAAGAAAACTAAATTTCACTAGTAAATATCAATATTAAAACATTATAATGTAAAAAGAAATAACAATAGCACAAAATATGAATTGTCACTCGACCTACCTTAACGTTTTTAATTTGTTGCAATCGTCTTAGTTTTGAGTTCTTTCAATCTGTGAATATATCTAAAATACACCAGAAATACATATTCTTGGCAGTTGAAATATCGATATATAGACCTAAGAAATATTATTATACATCTACACTTGACATTAAAATATTGAATATTAACTAAGCGATTGCTTCATCCTCTGGTGGTAGTCACTGCTGGAACGTGGATATCCCTTGATCCTGGTTCAATTCCAATCGCTGTTCAGCTCAGCTTTCTTGTGTTTCAGCTGGAGGGCTGAAATGCATGTTTCAATAGCGCACCGTCATTCGGTTCAGACGTTTAAACCGTTGGCCGTCCCATGTGCACGTCAAAAAAAGCAAACAGCAGTGGATTGTTTACCAGTGTGCAGGCCTACTGCCCAACCACCACTAGAAGGTGCCAACAAGTATTCCCAATCCAATCCTTGTTTCTTGACTTTCGTGTTTACACCAAATAAACCCAATCAGGGGCGGATCCAGCACAGGGGCACGTGCTCCCCAGTTTTGCCATTAAATTTTAAAATTAGCGCTCTCACTTTTCTATTCTGAATATGTTGTGTGCACACCCCCCCCACCCCCACATCCCGCCTCCCGTTTGAAAAATTCTGGATCCGCCCCTGCCAATTCAGTCCTTGTTTCTTGGATTCTTGTTTCTTGACTTTCGTGGTTATGCTTCGTGTTTACACTAAATAAACCCAATCCAATCCTTGTTTCTTTTCCTTTAGAGAAGGGGCAAACATAATTATAAACACCATTCAAGAACCCAACAAATGTTGGGCTTCTTAAACAATGCTAAACTATCGAGCCCCTTTCAATCTGAAATTGAAACATACAAAGTATTTATATAAATGTTCTGTACAATGCAGTAGAAAAAATAAAAAACAAGCAAGTTTTATTTTTTGCCACTTGTTTTTTTTTTCAGGAATTGAAATTTCAATAGAGATGATAACTGCCGACAGAAATATCAGTCACGCGTCAGTCCTTGTTCCTTGTATCTTTTTAGAGCAAAGAAGAAAACAATTATAACCTCTTTCAATTAATGTTCTGTAAAGTTATAAAACATGAAATTTGTATTAATATAAGCGAATCCACCTACCATTTTATTTCGTTGTTTGTATACCATGAAAATTAACACAGCTAGCTTTGTTTTCTGCTCACACATTTTGGGTTTGCAATGCGGAATACAATAGCTAAATAATTTAGCAATAACCAACATTGCAATAAAAATAATAATTTTCTTAATTATTAATTAAATCTAAGATACAGTATGTACGTAAAAGAATACAGGAATACAAACCGAACTAGTTCAATTCCTTTTGTTTATAAGCCTGACATAAAAAAACATTCAAGACTAAAAAAAAAACACCCCGTATAGATTACATTAAGTAGGCCTACAGTAATAACTAAAACATTTCATATAGCAATAGTAGGCCTATGCTTAATAATTATATAATTGTTTCAGCTTTTGGAATATTTTGTACGGTATGCCTTTAATTGAATTTGGACAGGTTAAGAGGCCCCAAAGATGCACGAGCGCACAAGCTCAAGGCTAACGGCCACAAACGCTGCTGTCAGTAAATTTAAATATTAAAGTAGCAATACTACAGTACTTTTGAAAATATTTTTTGAGTTCCAAATAATTTTAAGTGGATGGCTTGTATACCTTTAAAGTTTCAGTTGTGCTGTACGAGTTGGATTAAAACAGATACAAGGTGATTCAACATATACAACACTATATAAAATATATTTTACAAATGCATGATGCGAGTTGGGTTAAAAACATTTACAAGGTGATTCAACACACAACACTACACAAAATATATTTCACAAATGCATAATACGAATTGGGTGAAACAAATTAAATGGCGATACAGCATCATCTAAACTATTTTAAATAATGCTGCATCAAAATGTACTAGGCCTAGTACACGTTATAATATTAGTGTATAATTATATTGTTTCATGAATGAATGAAATGAAATGAATAAATGAATGATTAGCTCCTTAGTACAACAAACTTTAAAGGATAGGAATCGACCAAAACGAATTTCAAACCAAACAGAAACAGTGATTTAAATTTACCATCTACAAGGCCATCTTATCTGTTGTAGAAGACGGACTTAATGGCGTTTCTTTGCCGCGAAAAAAAATTTCATGCGCGAGCTGGGTTTTATCTAGTTTGGTACACCCGAGTTTTGAATTTAGGCCCTAAAATACTATTTTCGAAGCAATAATGATGCATATTGTCCTAAATATACCGTAAACACTTGTGGACTAAACATAATGTTGCATTTAAGTATTGATTTATTATAATACTTATCGTAAAACCATGGCCCGGTTGAACACAGGCATTTAACACATCCATGAACAACATCGTCTGGTCCAAAACCTTTATCGAAATGGTATGCGTCAATTTGTATCTACAACGCAAGTCCACAAACGCATTCATGCATAGCAGTGAAACAGGTGTATAATAATATATTGTTGACAGCCTCTTCTTTAAGAATAGATTTACAACAATAATGTTCACAGTGGCTTAACCGCGAGTGGGGGGGCTGGGCGAGAGAGAGTTGGGGGTCCTGTATTTCCCCCGAATTGGCAGAAGGGGATGTGTGTTTGTGAGGGAAGAATTCCACTATCAAAGGAATAAAACGAATGAAGAAAGGCTGCATTATGTAGATAGGGCCCCAGGGGCGGACCCAGGGTGCCCGAAAAGGTGGGGGGGGGGGATCGAGAGTCAACACTAACCAAGGGTATTCCCCTGTGAAATGCTTGTTTTCAAAAAGTCCGGAAATGACCAGGGGCGGATCCAGAGATGAAAATGGAGCCGAAAGTTGTGCCGATCGAGATAACAATAACCCAGGGGCTCCGGGGGCATGCCCCAGCGAAATATTTGTTTTCTAGACGCCCAAAAATAACCTCTGATGCGTTTTGGGC